CCCCCCCACTCCCTACCTCCCTCACCTATATTCCTTCTACCTACCCCAGCCCCACCCCTCCTCTATTTATTTTAGAGCTCCCTTCCCCCCTCCCCCATTTCTGAAGAAGGGTCCCGACCCAAAACGTTAACTTTCCTGCTCCGTTGATGCTGCCTGGCCTGTTGTGTTCCTCCAGGTCCACGCTGTTATCTCAAATTCCACTGTATTTTCAGCAAAGTCTATACTGAATTGTATTTGGACTTTTCATTCTTACTTATAGATAATTTATGAATAAGGTATATTTTTTGCAATATAAAAAATAACAGGTCGACATCCCCGCATTGTAGGGCAGGGAAGCACTAGTCACTGCTTGCCATGCTCCCCAGTAGAAATGTAAAGGAAGGGGATGGTTGGGGAAGGATGTCTTGGCCTGGTCCAGCCTGGAGCCGCTCCTGCCTCTCCGTTCATTCCGCCTTATCCGAAACAATCTCACCTTCTGTGAAGAGAAAGACTGCGACCAATGGTACAGAACCATTTTTTCGCGAGTGCTCTCGGGTTTGGGGACCACCTGCAGTGCCCCATCCCCTTCTTGTGGCCTTCGCACCTCCATCTCTCGACATCTTTCACCCACAGCCGGCTCCCCCTGGGCAGCCGCCATCGCTCTGACACCTACGAGCGAGAACACCCCGCCCCCCCTACACCCGAGGCGTTCTGGGTAATGTAGTCCACAGAGACACGCGGTCCACCCTCGCTTCATGATCCAGTCCCACGGCCTAGAAAACTACAACTCCCACAATCCGATGCGCGGAGACTGGTGGCAGCGGTGACAAAATTGTGCAACCAACAGCGATATTAGATCTCAATTAAAAACATATCGCACCGTGGATTAACATGTGCATTAGAAGAAAGATAGTAGCGGGTCGTTTTATCACATACTCGTTGAATAGATTGCTCACTTTTATGCAACCTATCCTTCTGGGTATAGATATCTTCTAATCAACCTGCTCAGAGATATTATGACACACCTCTGGAGCAGGTAGGACTTTAACCCAGGGCTCCTGGCCGATAGGTAAAGGCATTGCCACCGTGGTGTATGATCCATTCCGCAGCGAAAGATGGAGAAAGATAGCCAGGTCTTCATGCGAGCCTTTGGTTGCCTGTGTGGAAAGGATGGTGATTGCTCTCGATTCTGAGGTGTAACAGAACACGCAGTAGTTCTAAATATGAACTCAAACCTGCAATCCACGGCTGAAGCTGTGCGTGCTCGGTATCGATGACCGGGGCACACAAGGACACTTCTCTGTAACCACGTATCAGTCCTCCAGAATGTACAAGTCCTGACAGCTCCTTGTACATTATTGCAAACACCAGGAGTATTTAACTATTGTGGTTACATACGATCTGGACATTAAGAGATTGCAGCCTTTTCCTATTGAAAAACTCCACTGCTTGTTGCCATGGTGCTCTGTTGGCAAAATGAGTGCAACAGATTGCACCTTACACATGTGAGAATCCTGCTATCACAGAAAACCTGATTACCCTGGCTGCCTGCATCCAAGGGGAATCTAATAAATTTTCAGGCTTTCGTAAATAGAGTCACCTTCCAGATATATTTGTAGAAGGCGAACTGAGAAATTCCAGAGGCATCCCCACGACCTCCCTGAATTAATTCACTTGCTTAAAACTTGAAGGTCATTGGTTCCTTCAAGGTAACCAATATGGGATTGCCACATTGTCCTTGTGGCTGCAGGTGATTATCTAACATATCAGGCATTGGAGTTAACTTCACAGAAGATCATGAGGCACCTATTGCATTGTCTCTGTGTCACTTGTAGATAGCTACAGCGATGTCTGTAGTTGTGGTTTCTGGCCAATGCTTATCACCAGTGTGGTTCCTGCTGCCCTGAATTTTGCACCTTGGCATGTAGTCTGCAGGCTGTAGCTGCCTCTGCTGCTCCTGTGTCCTACAACACATGTTCTCCTCAACTGCTAGATGACCAGAAGAAAGGCATGATTGATCTACGCCACATGCTGTTAGTTTCATGAGATTTTTTGATGACTGTTTGTTGATACATACAGTCATCATTCTCTGTAAGGATTGGCCTCCAAAGTTAAGTGGGAAGAGACATTTAATTCCAGCAAGTTTTCATGAGTTGCAAATAGATGCTGATAGGCTTCCTGGCACCTATAGCTATGAAGGTTGACTCGTTTTGAGATTGGCAGAACCTCACTACAGACGATTATCTCACCAGTGAGAATCTGATTTTTTGACTCCCTGCCAATGAAATCTGCTCACCCACCATTTTTCTTACTTCCTCTAGGATTGGAAAATTCCATCCAGGGAGATAAGTGTCATCAAAATTAACCTAATGAGGTGTTGTTGTGTATCCTGTAGATTATAGTTACTGTGTACTCCACGGGTGATGGAGAAGGATGGATATTATGTCAACGCACAGAGTACCAACAAGTTAGCATGCAAGGTAGTAATTAATTAGGAAGGTAAATAGAATGTTGGACTTTTGTAAGTAGGAATGGCTTGCTACAACTGTACAGGCTGTTGGTGAGCCAGCTCTTGGTGTATGGTATACAGGTTTGGTTTTCTTGTCTGAAATAAGGAAATGCTTGCATTGGAGACAATTTAGAGAAAGTTCATTAGGTTGATTAATGGAATGACGGGGCTCAAGATATCATTTCCTATAAAGCATATTGACTACATTTCAGTAGGGTTCATTTGTGCTTAAAATAGCCGATTGCTGCATTAATGCCATAGCTATTTCATTCACCTTTCCCCTGCCATTCATCTCTAGCATGCAAATTCAGGTTAAAGATTTTATGAACTGTGCAGCCAGGTAATCCTGGCAGAACTCAAAGTAAGAATTAGTGAACACATGATTTTTTACATGACACTATTGATGGTTCCTTCAATATTTTATTGATGAGAATGATAGCATTATAATTATATTTAAATGGTTAGGATTTTTTTGTGCTTTTGAGGATGAGCTACAAGTAGCAATTTTCTACTTCAACTTGATAGCAGTAACATGGTTGACCTGTATTTGATTATTCAAAGTGAATGTATGTAGCTGTTGTTATTCACACATACACTAATATAGCTGGACAGAAAACATAGTTCCCAATCACTCCAGTACCCCTTCAGTGGAAATTGAGTAGACTTGCATACATTGAGACCTGTAATATCAGGAACTCAGCCACGGCAGGAGCATCCTGTTCCCAGGTTTCTCATTCAATGCAGAGCAGGCAAGGAAGATGCAATTAATTTGTCGAAAGATGGATTTCTAGTTAAAGGGACCTGGGTAAGAGTTAGAATGGCTGAACTGTACTTTGATGCCAGTGGTTTTAGCAAGTGAGATTATGTTTGTCAAGGAGGAAGAGACCAATCTTTCTAAACAAGCAAGTAGTTGTAAGTGTCTGAGGATATATATTGCTGTTTCTCTATTCCTCATCGGAGGTCCAAGATAAAACTGGACAAGCTGCTCTTATGCCACAGTTAAGGCAAACAGTAAGAAAGTGCAGATCAAATATAAGTAAAGTCCACGTGAACCGACTTTCAGCAAGTTGAAAAGCAATAAGAGGCAATAAGAGCGTACTTCCATATGATGTACTGTGAATAGCGGACTCTCACCTGGCCAAAGCTGCAGCTGCTAAGTTGCAATTGTTGTAAGCTTCCAAACCTGTCACTTTCACTGAAGATACACAACCAACTGTACTGTCACCTTGTTGACCCTTGTACATTTAGGGTCTGGTAAGTCGGGAGCCAAACATCTTCAGCTACTTCACCTTTTCTCCAGTATTAGGCCAGAAGTGGGATGTTTGTTGATCATTGCACGATGTGAGTAACTTTCTCTGGATTGATGCCAGCTCAAAGTTTTGCTATTTTGCTGCTGATTTGAATTCTTACCTTCTGTCCAGGTCACGACACTTTTTTGCTGGTGAGTCAAAGATGTCTTTTTTTTGGTTCTCCCTCTGACCTGCAGTTAAAGTATTGTAGCAGTTTTCTATTGTTGTACATTCTAGTTGCTTTTGTCTTCTTTATAATACTTTGGTACTGTGTGTTGTCATCTTGCAGCCACCATTTTCCTCTTCTGGTCAGTTTGATGGGACTCTTGGTTTCTCTTGAATGGTTCTGCTGCAGTCTAGATACATTCCAACACAATCTTTTATTTATGTACTAGCAATGCATACAGTCATTGATCTTCTCTAGCTCAGAGCGTCTTGTCCATAAGATATTTTACAGCTCTGTTAGCCACATGATATTACATCTGGGATCGGTTAGCTTGGATGGCTGGCCTGCAGTGCAGCGGATACCAACAGCATGGGTTCAATTCCTGCACCAGCTGAGGTTACCATGAAGAACTCTCCATCTTAGCCTGTCCCTTTACCTAACGCATGGTGACCCTCAGGTTAAACCACCACTAGTCATCTCTCTCTAATGACAGAGCTCTGGTAAAAATATAGCGACTTTATATTATCATTACATCATGATTCCAAAGGTTCACACTGGTAAACCATTTGTCTACAATAGAGACACAGGAAAACCCACAAAGAGGTCAAAGAAGCAAGACAAAGGGTGCAACAAAAGAGAGCTCAAGGATGGAAATGAAAAAACTAAAAGGTTATACACAATAACTAATAAATAAGTAATAAATACATAAACTAAATGAAATATGTTTTTTTTAACCAGAAATGTCCAGTTATACACCACATTGAATTATATCAAAAGCAGAAAGGACTCAGCTCTGAGAGCAAGGTGTGCATTCTGAATGAAATAATAAATACAGTCATAAAGCAATTCCTGCTATAAATGCAACACAGAATCTTTCTCTGATAATAATTGGTCTGATTTTTGCATGCCTGACTTTTTTATTCATGACAATGATATCACACATCCTATCATTTATATTTCTACTTTATAACTTGTTTTAAATGCAGATCATCTCTCCACCAAACAGCATGAAATTACATTTAAAAACCTAAGTCAATCATTTACAAAGACACATTGTCAGTATGTACCTAAATTATAACTAATCATTTGTTTATCACTGATGATGTGCAATATGTTCTATGTTTTAAATATATTTAAACTTTAGTAGAAAAACAGCATTTTACAACAGCTGACAATCAAAGTTGTCCTGAGCCAACATGAAATTATGCACTTCCTTCAAAATGTAGCCACATTTCGAATATTATAACAGCAATCAATCCCCTTTCCCCACCAAGAATTATATCCGTTCTCCCTCAAGCTCTCTACAAACCCAATCTCAAAATCTTTTTTTAAAAAGTGGAATATTACAGATGAGGGGTAAATCTGAAGTAAAAACAGAAAATACTGGAAATGCTGATACAATTATGGCTGCATCTGTGGAGAAAAGCAGAGTTAATATTTCCAGATCTGGAATCTATCATCACAGAATCACAGAAGTGCTTTGGCATAGAAGGAGCCACTTGACCTATCATACCTGCACTGACTCTTCAAATGAGCGTATTACCTGTGCCAATCTCCTGTTTTTCACCCATTCCCTTGCGCATTATTTTTATCCAAATAATCATCCAATACCTTCTTGAAGGCTTCAATTGGGCATGTCTCCGCCACATTTCTAAGCAGTGCATTCCATACCTTAACTGCTCATTGAGTGAAAATATTTTCCTCACGTTATTCTTGCTTATTTTGCAGATCACAGTAAATCTCTGCCCCCTCGTTCTTATTCCTTTTATGAGTGGGATCAGTTTATCCATGTCCACACTATACAGCCCACTCATGATTTTGAAAACATCTATCAGATCTCCCCTAAACTGTCTTCTCTCCAAGGAGAATAATCCTGGTTTCTAAAATTTATCTTCATAACTGAAGTTCCTCTTCCCTTTCTTACCATCCTTGTAAACTACTTCCGCACTCTTTCCAATGCATTCACATCCTTCCTATAATGTGACAAACCATAACTGTACACAGTAATCCAGCTGAGGTTTATCAAGTGTCTTGTACAAGTTCAACATCACCTCCTCGTTTTTGTACTCTATGCCTCAATTAATAATGCTGAGGATACTGTATGCTTTATTAACTGCTTTTTCCACCTTCCTGCCTTACTTGCCTTACTTTATGTTACTTTACTTTAATTTGTTTGCCTTACTAGTGAACAGGAAAAATTACAGGGCTTAAAACCTGCTGTAATTCCTAGCTAGCCATAGAACTGACCATTCATCCTCCCCATCACTCACTCTCACACTAATCCGCAATTACTCCCACTGATACCCCGCATAAATCAACACTCTGGACAGCTAACAAACTTCCCTCACATTTTTCAGTAAGCCCAAATCACATATCTGGGTTGGATTCAAAGTGGTTCAGGGCAGCGTAAGTGAAAAGTACTGCAGACGCAACCTGACTGTGATTCCCACTCGTCATTTAATTCCTCAAATTGCTTCTGATTTATTTCATTAAGGGATGCAGAATGGATATTTTTCGGGTTGCAGGAAGATTTGCAGTGGAGTTCCCCAGAGATCAGTGTTGGGACCTTTACTTTTCTTTATACATATTAATGATCCAGATCTTGATCTGCAGACCGAACTTTAAAATTTTGATGATGACACAAAACTTGGAAGAGGAAGAGAGTTCCTGGGTTTTTGCAGGGACATAATAGTTTAGCTTGTTTCTTTAATGTGATTCTGTATGCAGGACTGAGATTCCCTGATCCTGTAAACAACTTTGTGTAATCATTCTCAAAGGAACTTTTAATCCTGTGCTGTTCTACTTATTAGACCTATCAAAGAAAATTGAGGGCAAAACATGCATTCTTGCTCAAGAACGAGGTTTCTTGATTATGAACTACACACACATTCTCTATTGTCTTACACTCTTTGTGTTGCAGAGTTGCATGTAGCATAGGTTTAATCTTGAGAGCTATTCCACCATGATCATGTAGTTTTATCTCTGTAGGCTCTAACTTATGTTTCTTCATCCATGGTAAATGATTTGATAGGACAGTGACACTTGATCTGGATAAAACTTGAAATGAATGAGATGTCTGTCAAATCTGGATTGGTTGGCTCACCAATTTCCCCTTGGATTGCATTGGGAATCTTTTCTAATGTTGGTAGCTTTATTGCGTTAATATCTACCTATGATTAGCCATTTCACTTTTTGCTGTTCTGTAACTGTTGTCCTGAAATCAGTTCATGACCTTCAAAACTTTTTTGGCACGGTAAACAAGTTCATGAATTTCTTGCCTCACTTGACAACTACTACCCTTGAAACAACCCCTCAAGAAAACACAAGGATGGTGCCGGAATCTGCTTCAGGAGGAGACGTTCCAAAGGATCAAACGCATGCTGATGCCTGCAGATTTCCTGCCCCACTACACTCATCTATCAAAGCTGCAGATAGGAGCAGTGCACTTTCAGGGACAACAAGGTGGATGTCAGAAACTAGTGCATCATGCCTCCAGGACGAAGCCATACATAGAGACATGCTATGCAATTATAGAGAGAAAGTTCTCTCAGTCAGGTGACCCTCTATCCTTGGCCTAAAAATGCCTGTAGAGATGGACAATAAATAATTAGTCTCCCTGTTAGATGAAAAGTAGTGGTCAAAGATGTCTGCATGGATACTGGGTTCCAACTCCATCTTATGACGTCTAAGTTTGAGAAGAAGTGTGTGCAGGGAAGCTGTAGAGATTAGCAGATGCATACTACAGAGTGACAGTGGACAGCTTTTCAATAAATGACAAGGAAATTGTTTGTAGAATTGCATTGCATACTCAGACCACAAATGACCTTGTGGCGGTCAGCAAACCAGAAAAGCATCAATTAGGAACACCAGGAATAACAGTAGGGCCAAGAATATGTTACCACTCAATGGTATTATGTTGAAAGTTGGCCAGACCAAAGGCCCAGTGGAAGACTTATTTTGAGCATTGACAGAACTTTGCAATTGTGATGACTTATCAGTGCTTGATATAAGACTGGACATTTCCATTTCATTGCAGGATGATATACCAGGGACATTTGGAGATCATCAAATGTAGAGTTAGGGCTCAGTTATCGAAGTGGTAGACAGTGATCTCAAAGGAGAATCTCACAGCAGACTGTGATATTTGCTGTATTCATAGCAGAGAGCCACTGATCAGCGAGAGCCACTGATATCCACCACTTTCCCCACCCGACTGTGGCAACAAGAGGAGCAAACCTATTTATGTTTGACGGACAATCTTATCTTATTACTGTTGCTTACTTTTCCTGAAGGATAGACATGAAAATGTTATTTACTACCACCATATATGAAGTTGTCAGGGTCTTACATGAAACATTTGCTCCACGTGGGATCCCTGAAGTGGTCATGTCAAATACTGGACCACAATTTGCTAATCTGTCTTTCAGCTAATTTGTATCGAGTTCTGGATTTGAACATGTAACAAGCTCACCATGACACCAACAAGTAAATGGGAAAGATGAGCATGACCTCCAGATGATCAAGTACCTTTTGAAGAAAAATGCTGACGTTTATACTGCATTGTTAAAATATCAGTCCACCAAATCCAGCATGATTAATCAAAGGTGAAGGGAAGAAATACGAAGACTCAACTTCCTATGCTTAAAAAAATGTTAAGGTTTTGGGACAAAAGCAATGTATGTAAGAAAGAACAGTCTTACCCAGTACAGCAAGCACACTTTAATAGATATTGTTTTGCATGTCAATCAACACACGTGAGCCATGGGCAAAAAGTATAGCTACAGGACCTTAACAGGAAAGGTGTGATCATTC